ATTATCGAGAAAATAATGCTCAACAGACTTAAGTTCTACTTAGTTCTATCTTAAACTGCTAAATATAATATTAGGCTTATCAGGACATGGAGGTAAATACTCTTGTTTATATTGCAATAGTGATAAGTCAAATTTGGGAGAATTGAGAACTTTCAAAAAGTTAAAGTTGCTGTATGGAAGTTTTGCTGAAAATGGATCTAAGAAAAGTTCTATGCAGATCTAAAAAAATGTAATACATCCATGTCTGCTTGATGTAGCTGAAGATACACATGTACTTGATGTAGTTCCTCCACCAGAACTTCATTTGCTGATGAAGATTGTTACAGAGATTTCTAATGTTTTATGTAAAGAACCAGAAATTGCTGCATGGCTAAGTAACCATGGGATAATTTGGCATGGATATAATGGAGGTGGGTTAGATGGTAGAAATGCTAACAAAATTCGGAAGCTATTGCCTGATTTGGAACAACATATTTTTGACCATTATCCTTTTTATCATCCAGTTGTTGAACTGTTAAAATCGTTTTCTATAGGTAATTTATACATATACACACACCTCATACACACATATATATATTTATTGTGTATGAACTATTTTTTCAATTTAAAACATGATTTAAAAAAATATGATTAAACTTCAACATTAACCATGAAATTTTAGTTGTCGATAAGTGCTTTGGTATGAAACTTCATGAGGGTTATGCAGGTGCCATTGCAATGTATGTTAAGAAGTTAAAGGTAAATTAAAATTTGAAAATAATTTTAGGAAAGTAATTATTGAATATGATGTAGAAATAAACATGAAAACAATTCTTATTTATAAATATTATGTCATAGGCATATTAGCTATTTATTTTTTACTTTTGATTTAGGAAACTGAAATTTATGTTAAAGTTAACTTTAACCACAATCTCTCAATGGGGTGGAAAGGTCATATTATTGAACACCACCTTGTTATTTTCTTAAACAATATTAGAATGCCTCTAGGTGTATTTGCTGAGCAATGTTCCAAATCTGTTCATCACAACATGCTTAAAACTTTGAGTAGATTCGCAACATCTGAATCCAGATCAAACCATGGAGAACTACTGAGAAGAGCGGTGTTAGAATATTCAAGCAATAGAGTGTAGATGATTTGATATAAATCAATCATTGGATTTTCTTATTATAATACGATTACTTATCTTTTATGTAATATTGTATATGTCTTGTAAATTATACTTTTTGTATTATATTTTGTATATTTGTTATTTTAATACTCCATAAATTCATTTCTAAATTATGTTGCTTTTTCTGTAAGTTTATCCATAAGCTTAATTTTGTTTATGAGCTTGATTGTTAATTTTTCATGGACTTTCTTATTTTAATATATTCTAGTTATATTTTATTATGTCTTGGACATTATAATTGTATTATATTATACATATTTGTTATTTTAATACTCTATAAATCTATTTAAAAATCATTTAGATTTGCATTTTAACAAGTAAAAACAAAAATATTTTTTGAAGAAATATAATAATTTTAAAATTTTCCCCAATAATATTTAAAAAAAATTTGAGGAGAGGGAAAATTTGCCCCAATTCCCTAAAAAGTTGATTTTTTCATCAGGATGTACGCCAAACAATTCGTTCTCTCCATAGATCAGTCTGTTTATCATTCCTTAATATCATGAAACTAAAATTTTTGAAGTAATCAAATTTTCAACCTAAACCTACTACATTTGACTAGTGTCTGTGTTAGTTAACACAGATTAAAAATTAATTAATCTGTGTTTTTTTAATCTGTGTTTTAATTTTTAATAAAAAATTAGAGATTTGAAAGAATTTGTAGTTTCTTTTTTTAGTTTTTTTTTTAATCTTTGAAGTATGCCTATTTCAATAGTATGGTTGATCCATCAGTTTGACAAACCTCAAGTAATTTATTTTACTTACATAAGGAAAACAGCCATGTTTTCCTTAAATAAGCTGAAACAACAAAAAGCAATATATTTACCAGCAGTATATATTTTACAATGTGATACAATTGTTGTTTCTATTTATCTTGATGTAACAACTATTGTTTTAACTTAGTTTTAAGGACATATTTTTTAATGTTGTAAAAAGGGATTTTTTTTTGATTTATTTTAAAGTTCATTCCAGTCCATTAATGCAGAGTATTTAAAGGAATGTTTGCCGTAGGATTTTGTATTATATGCTTACACACTCAGTGCACCTCTACAAGATTTTCTTGTGAGTTGACAGCTAATTGCACCGCAAAGAAATTATTTATTAAATATTTGAGGTAACTTTATTAAACATTTATTAAATATTTGAGGTTTTTGTTTATGCAGCTGTGAATAAGTAAACAATTTTCAATTTTGATTATATCATGTAATTTTAAAATTTGTAGAGCATTAAAAGATGTGAATGTGTGGGTACTTTTTGGTAGAAATTCAATAATCCTGACTACTTTTTTCTGCATGATAAATAGGCGATTCACTTTTGATTCCATGTTTTGTTTCCACTTTTGATTCCACTTTTGTTTCCACTTTTGATTCCACTTTTGATTCCATGTTTTGATTCCATGATAGAAGACAATATGTGATGTGAGGGTGAAATAAAGTATAGTAAATAGATTTTAAAGTTTTTTTTTGTATGAAATATCTTAGCTTTGATAAAATGGCAAGGGATCAAATCAACTTATTAAAGATATCATTATAAGTCCAGGCTAAGCTATTGTCTAGCTTTATACCCAAGTAGTTTACAAGTTTTTTGCACTAAAGTTTTTCCCATTTAACTTAATTTTGAGCTGCTGGTCTAATTTTTTGTGACGACTTTTAAATATTATTAAATTAGTTTTTATGGAGTTTTTTTTTTTTTTTTTTTTTTTTTTGTAATTCACCTCCCCAAGACCAACGGAAATTCGCCTATAGTTTGGCATTAATAGTTTTAAATCAGTTTTAAGAATAGATATAACTTTGGTAGTTTTTAAGTTTTCTGGGAAAAACTTGACAAAGAGATATTAGAAATATTAGAACAAGTTCTTGAAAGTTCCGTTTTAATAGTTTTAAAATTTTAAACGATTGCTAAACATATTTATTTTAATGACAGTAAATATGTAGTAGTTAGTTTAGCAGCAAACTTAAATTTGTTTAAAAAAAGTTTGTTAAATAAATTTTATTGTTATTATTCTTTGAAGTCTTTGTATGTATTTATAAGTATACTAGTTTATTTATATTTAGAAAATTGACAACAAATGCAAGAATTGGGAGAAACTTTTAGTTTTGGAAAGTGCTGTTTATAAAAAAAGTTATGTCCTAATCAAATTATTATATCAAAACTGTCTAGAAGATGATAATTCGTTATTGTTTAGAAACAAAATGGACTTTGTATGTAAAGTTCAATACTTTGTTAAAAATGTAAAGAAAACTTTTATATTCATCAGGAATCATTGAAGAATCAGGACTCTTTGAGCACTAAAAGGAAGTATTTAATTCCCCATTATAAGAGAAAAAATAATACATTATACACTAAAAACAAAAAAAAATTGTTATATAGTCAAGGTTTTTAATTCGATTGAAAAAATAGAATTTTTTTTTTATGTATCATGATTGTTTACAACAAGAACCACTTTATATACCTAGAAAGTTCAGAAGCGATAACTTCCATTGTATGTCAACCGATGAAGAAAATGCCATTAAAAAGTTTGATTTACAGCGCCTCAAATCGGAATGCAAAATTCTTTCAATAAGAAGAGATAATTTTCTTACATCATTAAACAACGTAGATGCTGAAGTGACAAATTTTATCAATAAACATACAAAGTGTGAAGGTCTTAAAGAAAAATTGATTCTCCGATATGAAGAATGTAAAAATGAAGATAAAGATCGCATAGATATTAAATGGGCAAAAAAAACCCATTTCTACTAAATCTGCTTTTCATAAAGATCGTTTATATATAAATTTAAAGAGTTCAAAAAATGTCATTGAAAAAGAAAACAGCTACAATGTTGAAAATGTTTTATCAAATGATATTAGTAATGATAACCATATATCAGAAAGTTTATCTTCAAAAAACTGGATAAACACAATACCAAAAAAATACAACCTAAGGTCGTCATTTTATCCACCAAGCACCTGACCACTTCCCAAATAACACTTCTGACAAAAGGACCCAAATTCTGTCCAGCTACAAAAGGAAATTTTTTACATATAAAATCAGACATTCGGCAGTTCACACGTAAACTCAGATTAAAAGAAAAATTCTTTGAATTACACAATAACAATATTAGTATAGTAAAAATAAATCGAAATGTAATATTAAAACAACTCTACCTGAACTTGATGAAATAATTTCAAGAATTGAGCAAGTAAATCCAATAAAAATTCAATCAGTTGACAACATTTCAATACAAGAAAGGATTGCTTTAAAAGAACTCAAAGAAATGAAAGATATTGTTATTAAAAAAGCAGATAAAGGTAACACCTTAGTTATAATGGATTCAACCTATTATAAAGACAAACTAGTTAATCAAGATCACCTATTTTCTTTAACAACATATGAAAAAACTAATATTGACTCTGAAAAAAAAGTTTTTTAAAATCTTTCAAAAATGATTGCAAAACATAAATGTTTAACACAAAACGAAATTGATTATATTACAAATTTTGAATGGAAATCTAGTACTTTTTATGTAATCCCTAAAATTCATAAATGCAATGAAATTATTAAAAAGGTTCAAGAATCTAGCTCTCTATTTATCGAAATGAAACCACCAAAAGATTTAAAAGGTCGGCCCATTATTGCTGGTATAGATTCACCAACATCGCATCTAAGCCAACTTCTTCACATAATCCTATCTCCTATTGTAAAGAAACAAAAGACTTTTGTAAAAGATGACTGGAATTTTTTAAGAAAAATTCCTAGAATAATGGATTCAGATAGTGTTATATTAACTTGTGACATTGTAAATCTCTACACAAGCATTCCACATGATCTTGGTTTACAAGCATTAAAATTTTGGGTTGAAAAACATAAAAATCTAATAGCCGAAAGATTTACCACTGATTTTATCATAGATTCAGCTTCTTTCATTCTTAAAAATAATAATTTCTACTTTGACAATCAATTGTTTCGCCAGATTACAGCAACAGCCATGGGCACAGATTTTGCACCAGACTATGCTTGTCTTACAATTGGTTTTTTAGAAGAAACAATGCTTTTTCCGAAAATTTTACCAAAATATTTTTCAAAAGAAGAAGTTAAAATTATTAAACAGTTTTATTTTAGATATGTTGATGATGGTTTTAACATATTACCAAAGTATATAGATATTGCTAAGTTCCAAATGTCCCTTACAGAACTACATGATTCAATAAAATTTACAATAGATTTTGGCATCGAATTCGAAGCAAACGAAAAAGTATATAACACAGTTAATTTTTTAGACATTTCGGTTATCCTTGAAAACAACAAATACATTAAAACGGATATTTTTTACAAAGAAAAAACACTCATGACTATTTAAACTTTAACAGTCATCATCCGTATCACATAAAAAAGAACATACCTTATAACCTAGCTAAAAGAATAATCGTTTTTACGTCTAACGGAACTTAAAATATGGTTAAAAGAGTGTCATTACCCTGATAATGTAATAGAAAAAGCATTTCATAATGCAAAGTTACAAGGGCCAGTGCCAATGAAACAATCAAAAGAAGTCTTTCCTTTGGTGACTACCTTCTATAGTAATTTAAACTGTCAACCAATTTTAACTGAAGCTAACCTTTTACTTAGTTTATCTGATAATGAAAGATTAAAAAAAGTTTTTTCAAATATTCAACCAGTAATAGCATACAAACAACCACCAAACTTACTTAGACAAATTACGTGCTCAAAATTTCACTCAACATCATCTGTCAAAAAAATGGGATTATTCAAATGCAAAAACAGTCGATGTAAAATCTGCTGATTATATTTACAAGAAGTAGATAAATTTGAGACATCCAATGGAACAATTTGGAACATTAAAAGTCACGTTACATGTAATAGTAAAAATATCATTTATTATCTAAAATGCTTATCATGTAATGGACTATCTACTTATACTGGAAAAACAAACAATTTAAGAAACCGCACAAATGGACATATTTCCAGTTGCAAAACTGGCAATTCAACAGATAGATTCGACAATCATGTATATGATTGCAAGAAAGTACACAAAACAACTACGGAGCCATTTTTTCAGCTTTATGTTTTTCTCGAATTAAAAAATGAAAATAATTTATTGACCTATAGAAATTATCTGCATAAACAAAAACATGACACCTTCAACTAATACTTCCTTTTATAATAACATAACAATGGTAACTCATAGTTACAAAAACTGCTATTGAATGCTTCTATTATATAACTTTTTACATAAATCAAAATCATGATAATTACATTTGCAATAGTACTACTGATGATCAATACTGAAAGGCCTCTACTACTATTTAATATTTTCTTAGTAGTATTTTAATATAAAAAATTGATTTATTTTTTGAATATTGTTGTTTTGCTTGGCTTCTTTTTCCTTCATATTGTTTTAAATAAATTGCTTGCTATATATATATATATATATATATATATATATATATATATATATATATATATATATATATATATATATATATATATATATATATATATATTTATATTTTCCTAGTGTTGGAGATTTTTTAAACCCATTTGTTTTTATATAGTGTTTAGTTTTGAATACTTTTAGTAATGGTAGAAAAAGGAACTGTTATTAAAGTTGTTTGTTTGTTTTTTTTATTAATGAATCTGCTGCATTACACATAACACACAGATATATATATATATATATATATATATATATATATATATATATATATATATATATATATATATATATATATATACATATATATATATATATATATATATATATATATATATATATATAAACTCTGTTTTTTCCAGTAACTCCCAACCTAATAGTTGTTGCTTTCCTTGTTGGGAGTGAATCAGAATTAAAAAAATTTGTAGAATACATTTAAAATTAATTATATATATATATATATATATATATATATATATATATATATATTATTATTTTTTATTTTAATTCACCTCCTCAAGGCCGAGAAGGCCACTACAGACGAGGAGGCTACTTATTTTGTGGCTATAACCCTCTCTCAACTCTATAACTCCGAAACACGAACCTTGACGAACAAGGCCGCTGCGCGGAGAAACGAGTTGAGCGCGGTACTACCAGGGATGTGGTGGGGATCGAACCCGGAACCACTCGTTTATGAAGCAAGCGCTCTACCACTACACCACTACCGCATATATATATATATATATATATATATATATATATATATATATATATATATATATATATATATATATATATATATATATATACATATATGATACTTTAAGCTATAAAATGTTGTTTTTCTCTTTTTTATTATTATGTAATGCTTTAATCTAAAATTTAAATTAAATAATTATTTATTTAAGTTAAATATATATATATATATATATATATATATATATATATATATATATATATATATATATATATATATAAAATATATATATATATATATAAAATATATATGCATATATTATATATATATATGTCAAAATATAAAAGTCTCATTAACTAAAATTTCAGGTAAACATCCTATAAGGTACTTACACACAAACTAATCTGGCTTTAGTCAATATACTACGAGAAATAATGATAAAAATAACTTTCAGAAGATTACCAATACTTTCTTCCTGCCATCTTTAAAATGTTTGAAAAATTTTTTTACTCTGGATTAGTGAAATAAAAACGTTGTTTAAGAAGAATTTTTGCTACATTTATAAAGTGTTACTTTATAAGGCATAAAATTAGCAGTAATTTTTGTTTGACAATTGCTGTTTTCTCAACTTTTTTAAACCCAATCACTTTTGATTTAATTCAATTTATTAAAAAGTAAAAAACAGTTTGAGTCTTCAACAGTTGAAATTTTGTTTTAAACTTCGTTGAAGAAACTGTCATTGCTCCAGCATAAATTGAGATCGACCTGATGAAAGATGGTATTATTTATATATGTGATCATTAATAAAAGACAATTAGTTTTTAAATGATCAGATGAATGCTGGCCTTTATTATATGGCTGGTTGTGTATTATATTTTGTGCATAGTTAATGTAACAATCAACATGTGTTGATTGTTATCATCATAATGTAACAACATATATCATATATCATCATAATGTAACAAAATATATCATCATAATGTAACAACAATCTTTGTTCCAAAAATAAAATTATAATACTATATTACTATTATTATATATTACTATATTATATAGTTAATATATTTCTCATAATATAAGTAATATATCATCAAATATATAACTTTTAGAAAATGTTAATCAAACTTTTAGAAAATGTTTATCAAACTGAAGACGTTTAATTTTTTTATGCAATAGACAAATGTTAAAAATTTTTCAAATTAGTTTTTATGGTTTGGTGTGCTAACAGTTATGGCTTAGTCAATAAGTTAGTGTGTTTCATTTTAAATTATCTTTTTCAAGCAAATCTCAATGACACTTTACAAAACATGGTAAGGTTTTACTAAGTAACTGCCTCATCTAAACTTTACATATTATTTATAAATACATAAATGTTTTACATTTTCTATAATTTATATAATTATTAATATAATACTTATGTTATAAATACTGTAACTGGTATTATAAGTTATAATATAAGGTTATGTATGAAAAAATGTTTAAATTATTTATATTGTGAATTATTTGTACATAATAGTAAGTAATAACAAAAATTATTAGATGTTTTAACATTTAACTTTATTTATCTGAAGTAATAAGAAAATTATCACATTTTGTTTGAACATATTTATTAAATACATTTTTTTAATTCTTTAAAATATAAGTATTTATAAATATTTTAATAGCAATATTCAGACATTTATTTAAGAAACAATATGGCTAGTCTAAAAGAGGGAAGTATTGAGTTTTAAGGTTTTAAGATGTTTTTTAATTATCACAGGATGTTATATAATTTTTTTAGAATATGTTCTGAAATAAATTAAATATACAATCATAAAATGCTACTCAAGTGCAATACAAAAATGGAAATGTAGTTTTGATACTAAATACTGCAAAAACTGAATCTTTCAATAATCATGAGTGTTTTGTATTTTTCACTTGCTATAGTAAGTTAATTTCATTGTGTTATTATATGATATCATAGTCATATATAATATGTTTATTTACAAAGTTATAAAAAAGGTATCAAATTTTTTTGGTAATAAATTTCTTATCTATGTTATTTTTGTATACAACTTAATTAAATTTTAAATTTTAATAAAACTTTATTAAATTTATTAAAGAGGTTCAATAGTATCAATGTTTTGTTTTTAGAGTTGGTTTGTGTTGATTTATAATTAACAACAGAAAGTTCAGGAAAGTTCTACTTTCCTGAACTTTCTGAAACAAAAAATTTAATATCTCAAACTATTAGTTTACAGAGTTAAATAAAATAAAGAAACAGGGTTGCCACTTAACCTGGAATACCTGGAAATAGCATGAATCCCAAGGAAAACCTGGAATACTCAGGGATTTTCTAAAATTTTCATAAAATTCAGAGAAAAATCAGGGAAAATATTTTTTTTTAAATTTTGTACAATAATTTTTTTTTCAAAAATATTTTGCTAATACATATAATAATTAGTTTGCTAGTTGTGGGTGTTGTTGTAAAAGTTTTAGTTTGTCAAATATAAAGATTGTGTTTAATTAAGGAAAATAATAATCTTGTTGATGAACAGGAAAGAATATAGAAAAGTCAGGGAAAACTTAGAGAACTTAAAGAGTTCAACTCAGGGAAAAACGTTCTTTACTCAGGGAATACTCATGGAAAAACTTTAAAAATTATAGTGCAACCCTGATAAAATAATTTCTGTATATTAAAAATATATAGAATTTGTAAAATATACAGGTTTTATGTATTTATAAAGGATAAGTTCTGTGAATAGAAGATGGACTGTGAATCTCTAGGAAATGTGAATGTTATTATGATAGCACATATTTTTAGAACAAGAATAGTGTGTTTAAATTTAAAATTTTATGAATATATATGTTTAAATAATTAAAAGTTTATGAATATATATGATAAAAAAACATTTTTAAAACTACATATACAGTAGTGTGACATGATTTGGAATAAAAATACATTTAAAGGATTTTTCACATAAACTTCATTTGGTACCTCAATGGTAGTTTGTTTTTATTTTTATTTTCATTTATCTTTTGATCAGTAGAATAATATGTACTAGTAATATTATATATGGTAAAGCATGTTTGTTATTCATGCAATATGATTTCAATAGTCAATTTTTTAATAATTTAATGGAAGCATGTATTGTCATTAATACATGCTGCCATTATCACAATGTAGTAAAGCTTAAAAGTTATTTATGTATAATGATTTCTTAAACCAATTTGTTAGGGTGTTATATTTTTTAGAATCTACTATTAAATAAGTTTATATAATCACAAAATGTAGCTCTAAGACAACATGAAATTAAATAATAAATTCTAGTCCACGATAATTGAAATTTGTTATGTTAAACTAATCATGAATATAACTGTTATATATAATAATATAAGTGCTCTACACTTGTTTATAATTGTAAATTTTTATTGTGAAAATAATTTTATTACTAAATTTATTGTGGTCAAAATTACAATTGTTTTTAATTTTTTTCAATATGTTTAAATTGTAACAAATAATTATTTTCAAGTAATAATATAAACTAAAATGATTGTTTAATTAGGTACAATCAAAATGTGATATTGATTATTTTTGCATTTATTAAATTATATAACAGATATTAAACCCTCACCAACTGATTTAATGGTTTGATGTCAGGTTATCTTGAGTCAAGACTTTAAATTTTAAATGGTAACATAGTATTTATGTTATATTATTGTTGTTTACAAGTCTGTTTATGTCATGCCTAATTATTAACATCAGTTATTTACGATGAAATAACATTGTTTTAGATTCCCTGCAGGATGCCTGTTAAAAAGAAAAACTGAAGAAACTTTAAAACTAGATGATGCCAACTAAAGAATTTAAAACACCGTTATTTATGGTGTCATATCGAGGCTTCAGTTTTTCAGTATTTATTTTTATATTTTAGTATATATGTTATGTTCATTTTATTTTTTATTTTTGTTATTTTTGTAACAACAAACTATGTGAATAATTGTCCTGCCCTGGGCCTCTACTTCCATCTGGCTATTATTATTACACGTATACCGATTTGTATATTGTATTGAGTTAGCTTGTGATTTGTACGTGTGTTTTTATTTGCCTAGTGTTTGTTAGTTATATGCAAGATATGGCATGGTATAGCACACTGCATGGTATGTCCTTAATAATATTAAATATTTTTATCTATACTTTGTAAATATATATGCTATAATTTATTATATTATTCAAATGTTTATTTTTAATTTTTAAAATTAGTATAAAAGTGGATAAAAGCACTAAAGAAAACGATAACGATAAACTTTCAAGCAGAATTTTGTCATGCGATTATGGTGGCGATATGAGAGAACTACTTTGGTAATATTACTATCGTAGTTTTGCATCAAATCATTGTATAATATTAGTTTTTTGACTAAAAATATTATGAAATTCAAATCTGTTTTTTTAATTGATTCGTAAAAGTTATGTCAGACCAAATATTCATTTGCCTAATACATTTTATTGACCTGGCAGCGAACCCATAGATAATATAAATAACCTTTACTATTTAATTTTATATAAAAAATGCGACGCTTTTTAATCAAAAAATTGTTTCATTATTTTGCAGATTCGAGACAAAAAATCTGCGAAAAAACAAACTATAAAAAGTTGAGAAAACCCGCGGTAAATGAAAAAAGTATCTGGGTTCAATATGGGATTTCCCGTCAAAAACCCAGACTTATCCCAGATGGGACCCAGTTGGATCCCACTGACAGAATCGCACTGGGACCCATGTGGGTCATGACCCATGTGGGACCCATGTGGGCCATGACCCATGTGGATACCCAGATGGGTCCCAGCGTTTTCCCCAGTTGGAATGGTTAACTGGGTATGTGATGAATTTACTCAATGCATGCCAATTTTCAGAGTAAGTTCATAGAAAATAAATAAGAACGCCATGTTAAGAATTTAGTATTTTGCTACTTTAAAACGCCTTTTTTTACTCTTGACATCACGTGATAAAATATTAAAAATTGACTGGTTTTCGTTTACGGCGATTCGCAAATAATTGAATAATCCGACTTCTTTTTTCGTTGCAGCGCACTATGGTTTCTGAGACCCAATTTTTTGACATAAATTAATAACTTCAATTTAAACACAAAATAACTAATGATTTATATTTCTTATGATAGATAACATGTTCTAAATGTGTTAAAATTAAATTTTATATGAATAAAGTATATGAATAATATATTATATTTTGTGGAAAAAACTTTCAGCATATTGTTAATATTAAAGAAAAAACATTTCCGCAATTCAAGGGTGGAATGCAAGAAGCGAACTTGAGTCAAGCTCGACTTGAACTTTACATTATAACCAATAGCGACAGAGTTTTCCCCACAAAAAATACTCTGCCGCTATTGGTTACAAAATAAAGTTCAAGTCGAGTTTGCTTCTTTTATTCCACCCCAAATCTAAATTACGACGTTATTTAATACTTACCGGTTTTAATATTGCAGATTTTCTTTGTCACTTTTAAAAGTTATTAAACTAAGTTAGCACCATAAATTTAGAAATTCAGACCATTTAACAAAAGAGCAGTCAATATTAAGAATTTCATTGTCTTTATCATACTTTCATTGAATATATTTACTCTAGAAGTTAGCTACAATTTTTTTGATATATTTTATGATATTGGAACAGAAATTTTATTTTAATTTCAAATTATTTTGAAAAAAAATAATATATACAATATATATATATCGAATTACGTTCAGTTTATAACTAAAAACAGAAAATTTTTGTCATTTTTATTACTATATTTTAATCATTTCTTTCTTTTTTTTAATTATTTTACTACTTTCTTTTTATTTCTTAACATCTTAAAGTTGTCTTTTTTTAAATGCTGTGCTTATATATTACGGATTATTATATATTACCTATATTTATTTGGGTTACAATAGCCTCGGTGATAAGGCTAATTTTATGCCTTCTTCTTGCTCCCGCCAATTGTACTTTTTATATTGTTGTACATTGTGAATATTTTTAACGGCGAAATAAACTAATAAAACTAAAAAAAAACTAAAAAAAAAGGAAGGATGAGGAAACTTTCGACGATTCTGATTTTTTCTGTGCAAATTAATACTGGAAATTTTTTATTTTAAATTTTATTTAGGTAACCCAAGAAGTCCTTACGGTCTTATCACAGAGTACCATAGATGAGCATCGGAAGTTCACACCTCCCTCCTAACCGATGTCGCAAAACTTGCCCAGAGATGGGGTTTGAACCATGGATCCTTTGTTTCTGAGGCAAATGATAGGATCTGAGGTATCTAAGGCTCTATGAAAAATATATTCTTGATTTTTTTTCTTTGTTTGTTTTGCGAGCATGAACTTGTCTATCATGTTTATAAATTTTATGTCTTGCGTCAAAATCTTTTTTACCCTTGCATAAGACCCTTCTTTCAAATGCCTGACGTGCAGTAATGCCGTCTTCGTACTTAAATAAACAAAACCTCCTACTTTTGGTTTATCCACGTGAAGGTGTAAATTTTTAAAGTTGTTTTATTTCTTTTTTTCAACATAAAACGATTTTTTTGTTATTAGGACCATGAGTTTACCAATTAACCAAGTCATATCTATATAATATGTAGACGATACATTCAATAAGTTGTATCCAAGCATGTAGTGGAGTAATAACACACTGTTTTGACACAAAGTTTTAGGTTTAGGCTTAAATGATTCTGTTTTGAACTTCTGTACTTTAACGAAATCATTAGGAATAGTTTCACATATCGGACAAGATTGGTTTAAGTTTGTTCCAGTATATTTAAAATTTGTTCCAGTTAATATATTTAAAATTTGTTCCAGTTAATATATTTAAAATTTGTTCCAGTTAATATATTTAAAATTTTTTCTAGTTAATATATTTAAAATTTGTTCTAGTTAATATACTTAAAATTTGTCCCAGTTAATATATTTAAAATTAGCATTATTATTAAAATTAGCTTTCAATTAGCATCACAAATAAAGTTGGTTTGAATTTTTTTATTATTAGACAAAAAAAATTGATATTGGCTCAACTGATCTATTTGTCCGTCAATATCCTATTTTTCTTTTAAAATGTGTTCTTTATGTATTAAACTTTTAATGATCCAGAAAACCGCACAGATTGAGGAATGCGGTTGTTCCATAAGATCTTATTATCTATGTCTATGTGATACAAAAGTTGTCACAAATAAATTTGAACCAGAATGACAGCCAGCAGTATTAAATTTTTGTTTATAGGCTGAATGCCTATTAACAAAAATTTATCATCATTATATCATCAGTAAATGCAATTTTTCTTTTCAACCAATCTGAATTTTTTATTTTAAATCGGCCCATTGTTCTTTGACTATCAGGCCATTTTCGTTCAAAAGAACTGCACGAACAATAAATTTTCTTTTGAATACTATTACAAATAACAGTTATATCATTTCCAATTATTTGATTGACGTGCTCAAAAAACATTTTTACCTTTCTTTTTCAGCCATACAATAAATAAATCCTCGTATTTGAAACAGTACCTCACTGCAAACAAATAAATGTATTTTCATTGGGGCAACTAAGAGCAAGTTTTGAAAATTGGAATATATTTCTGAATATTAACAAAATTCAATCGTGTAAAAATATTTTCGGAGAAATGCGTAGATTTCTTTAAAAGTCAATTTAAAGTTTTGAAAAAAGAGAAACTTCTACGCGCTTATTGCTTTTACATAATTAATATAATAATGCATAATTTTAATTTAATATTAAAAAAAAATTATACCAGTATAAAAATGATTCACTTTACAGAAATCAAAAATATTAATTATTTAAAAAGTTCATAAATTAACAGCACTCTTTACGCTAACTCACTGTAAGTTAAAAAATATTCTCAAATTGAGTGCATATTAAAAACTTAACTATTATTTAAAAAATTATCACTTTGAAGGGTTTACTTTGAAGTACCACATAAAAAAAATCTTTTTTAATACTTAAAAAAAATGGGTTTCTGCCAAAAAATTAGGTCTCAGAAACATAATTGCCAGAAATGCCTAATCTTATTGACGAAAAAAATTCGCTTCGCGCGAATACTTCTTCTTGTGGAAAACGGCCTATAAGTTAAATGAAAAATAAAAATAACGAATTACGTTTAATGAAATTCAGAAATTGCCAGGTAGAAGAGCTCAAGATCTTTTTTTTTTTTAAATAAATTGTTGCGTAATTAATGGACGATCCCTAGCGCTACATAAACATTAAAACTCTAATAGCGTTACATATAAAAAACTTCTTAAACGAGTAAAAAAAAAAAGGAGTAAAAACATCATATAACACCAGAAATTATTGGAATATCAAAAAAAATTTGATTTCTATTAATTTTAAAGAATCTTAGATCTTGAACTAATTAAAAAAACAAATAAGTCAAAAGCATTTAAAACTATCGAGTTTTCTTTTAACCCCAGTGAGCACAGATGTCTCGTCAGACATCTGTGTCGCTGAGACAACTTTTGATGAGAGGGATGGATACAAAATATTGTCATATATAATATAATTATTTTACAAAAATGTATTCGAGACTATATACAATAATTTGTTGTTTTCGATTTTTGTTTTTAGAATTCAACGTTATATGCAATGGTATTTTAAAATTCTGATACGTAACACAAAATTTTTAAAATTAAAGGAAGAATCGAGGAACAAATAGCGATTAACCATGATCATCGCAAAATGTCAAGTTGTTGTCACTCAAATTTACCGTTATGCAGCGGACGTGCCGCCGATTCAAGATTTTTCTTGTTTTTCTTTCTACAACTGTAATTATTTCTGAGTCGTTTAAACACACTTCCTAATAAGACATTCAAACCTTTTAGTTTTCAGAGAAACCAAAAAGATGCTTCGAAACATTCAGTTTCACACCTGTTGCTTCCTCCCACTAAAACGATTTAACCCATTTTCCAGATAAATTAGCAAAATTAATCACCAAAATGCTCACATAACATCTACAAAAAATTCGTTTGACGAATTTCCCATAGCCATTCGAAAACTTTGTTTACTTGCGCTTATTTCGCGCGGGATGGTGTCAAGGCGTCCGAACTCGCGCGAAGTGTTATTGCGAGCGTTTTCTCCTTTTTCATAATTGTTGTTTGAGATATTTGACTCTCTTATGCCATTTAAGCTGACAGTATCCGGCGATATAATTTTATCGCTCGCTAGATGGTCTGTCGTTGCAAGTAAAACACGTTTAGATTCTAAGCTACTCTTACTGCCGCGACTTTTGTCCGAAGAACTACTACTGCGTATTGTGGCTTGATCGTAATCATAGTGTTGCTGTTGCATTACAAGCTGCTGTTGCTGATTCAATTGGTGTCCTCGAAAAGAACCTCCAGAACCACTATTGCTTCCTAAAATAATGTTAATAAATCAAATCTATTATATATTGCAACGACAACAACAATAATAAAAATAGTGTGTGTGTGTGTGTGTGTGAGCGTGTGCAATAATAAAAAAAAATATTAAAAAATAAAATAAAATAAAAAATACCAGTATGTTGCGAACCTTGACTACCAGAATTGTGAGCAAAATAAGGATTGAAAGTTGGTTGATATATTTGAGAATACATATCCATATAATTAGGAGGAACATTAGAATAGTTACTTGCAGAAGGAGCAACACCCATCTCCGAACTAGAAGTTATTGAAGGCGAACCACGAACAATCATACCAGGATGAATTAAAGGCATACCCCCCATTTGCATAACATACTGAGAAGATTGATTGTTTCCAACCCAAGAGCCTAAAACGAAGTTTTACTATATGGAAGTTTGATAAATTATCAATATGAAAACTTTATTATTAATTTTTTTTAACACATACCACAATGACTAGAGTGTGGCAAAGGTAACTCATTCGATTCAAAATCATCCAAGATTAAACCTTTCATGGAACTGTTTAAATCGCCAAAAACATAATAACATTGTTCGGAGAATGTAACTTTTTTCACTGTATGCTTAATAAGTTCTGCCTGTTTGTTGATAAATTGATATACTTGGTGAAATATGTTTGTTAATAGAATAAAAATTTGATTTTAAAACAAAATTTACCTTTAGCAATTTAGAAGCATACTTTCGAGCATCTCTGCGATCCTGAAAACCGTCGACATGTGCAAACAACCAATCCACCAAGTCAGATCCTGAACATATTTTAAATTTTTTCAGATTTTAACTTATTACAAACCTCTGCCTAAAAACATCTTTTAAGATTTTTTAGAATAGATTTCAAATTTGGAAACTTTAAATATTCTTAAATTGAAAAAACGTTAAAAGCATTTTGCTGTAAAACACAAAATTTTATTTCGTGCGATATTTACAAATATTTATGTTTTTTAAAACTAAAATATACAGATATATGTCGATAAATATTTAGATATATGTCGATAAAATATGTAGATATGTATCAATAAAATATGTAGATGTCGATAAAATATGAAGATGTCGAAATATGCCGAGCTTTAACGTATAAATTTGTCTTACAATAAAGAAACCCCACAGTAAATTTATTATTTAACTATGATGAATTAAAACTTTCTACAAATCCAAAAACTTTTTCGAACAAATAATTACTCAATTTGCTTTTTTTATCTTTAAGCTCTTAAACTGTCATCTTTTATTTCTTAATAAAATATTTGGAAATTATGAACGTATGCCAAACAAGATTAGATTAAGCATCAACAAGATTTTAACACAATTGTTTTTCGTGCATTCAGAGGCCGTATTTACATGTCTTCGCTAAGCTTAACGGAGTGTTAGTCAAAACTTTTTTTTTGCTTTATAAATAAAAAAAATTAAAAAATAGTAAAAAAAACATTTTTTTTTAATACTTATTTTGTTACTATTCATTTTATTAAAATTTTTAAACATTTCTACACTTATAAAAATTTTTAATTTAATGAAGATTAGAGATTTTCATCTAGCTGATTCATCTAGATATGAAATTTTTAAATTACTATTAAGAAAAAAAACTTATTTGTCGACGGACTATGAAAAATTTAATCCAACGCATTTTTTATATTAATAAAAAAACGTCTGCATCGTTTGCTTCACGCCAAGTACTTACGTCGCGAATTTGTAACGACAGTATTCGGAAAAGATCAAGCAGATTAATTAAAAAAATCCATTTATCTTATTAGCATTTATTTTCAGCATGTTGCAACTCTCCTCATTTTGGATTTTTTAATGATTAGTTAAATATTTATTTTATAACGTTGTTTATATATTACAACGTTAAATTCGACAACGATAGAGCTATTTTAACGATTCACATTTTGTAAACCATAGTTATTAAGTCTAAGTAATAAATTTTAATAAAAAACATTTCTCACCAATAAAAGCATTCGGAATAGTAATTTTAAGCCACATTCTGTCGCGAACAACCAAACCTGAATCTGGTGACGCCATTACTTTTATAACTGTATTCATATCTGTTTTAATTGACAAACCAAGGTCTGAGTGGTCAATATAACCTAACACATTTCAAAACATTAATTATTTATAACAATTATTTTATTAAACATAAAATCTTTATCACGATATCAACATCGAATTTTAAAGCTACAGTAAATATCATAAACACTTTTATTATAAAAAAGGACGCTTACGATCAGATTCTGGAATCGAACTTGTTAGAGAATCACTTGTTGAAGTCATTGTGCTCATAGAGGGACTACCTGTACGTCCTCCCAAAAGACCACCAGATGCTATAATAAAATATCTCAATCAAAACAGTTTCGTTGGATAAACGATCTTTTGTAATTTTTTTAATGTCCGTGAAAAAAATAATAAATTCTGATGCTATCCTTCAAATCAAATAAAGGCATAGTTTACAAACAATGCTACTTATTATAAAATACCTCTTACAGCCTCGGAATGTTGCATCCAAGCTGCCGGGTCAATAGGTCTTGTGACGTCATCTAAAAGTATGAGAAGTACTTAAAACGATTTGAACAATTATTTTTTTCGTTTTCTATTTTATATAATAATAAAAAAAAAGTCGAATTGCATTAAATGAATTTGCTATCTATGAAAACAATGTACTTACTTCTAGGCACTGTAAAATAACCTTTTGGATTAGGATCCCAACATTTAGCTACCGTCAGCATGATGGGACTGAAATATATATATATATATATATATATATATATATATATATATATATATATATATATATATATATATATAAATAAAAGATTAGGCATTTTAATTTTCTAACAATTATTTTATCAACCTACCCAGGTTTGTGTACGCACTCTCTGAGGACACGTACGGCATCATCATTACTCATATTTTCAAAGTTTACATCACCTACCTAAAAAATGTTACCACATACAACTAATAAAAACCGTCAAATGTTACATAAAAAAACACGATTTTTTAAATAAAAGAATATCATACCCCTGGAATTGTAGATTGCAGAACAGATTTCTTTTTTTCATAAATACTAATATCCGCTTTATAATAAGGGACAGATAAATTTTCACTAAAAATTTCTCTCACTCTTTTTTGCCCACGGCGGAACAAATTGAATTGAACCATATTAAAAAAAAAAGAGCTTGACTTTATATGTAAAATATTGAATGTTTAAAAATTGGCAAAAAAAAAAAACGTTTATATGCATTTCCGGATATAAAAACATTAACATTCCATCGTATATTTGCATTGAACGCCTGGACTCTTTTTCTACCTATTTATCCAATTAAATTTCCACGTTTATGTCGCATTCAAACAAACGCACACAGCATTCAAACAAAATGACGTAAGGGTGTTTGCAGTAAAAATTAGGAGAATATAAATAAGAGAAAAAAATTAAATAGACTTTAAAAATTAAACAGACTTAAAATATTATTGACTGCAAAAAATATTTGTGTAATATAATTTTAATTAACCAATTATATTATTGTTACGTAAAATACCACTTTAAAATGTTTCGCGACAATAAATGAAGCTCTTTGATCACTCCGGCGAACACTTTAATGTTTACGCAAGTAATGCAACAAAGTTTTAAAACAACATCCGCTTTAACTATTTTTTTTTGCTTGTAGTTTGCTAAAGGAATCCGAAAATTTTTTCTGCAAACTAATCTAGATAATTTGGGAAATTTATTTAAATCAAAATTAGCTCTAAATTGATTTTAAAATAACAATATCACAATATAAATAAATCTAAAAGATAAACTACATTTAAACAAAAAGTAAATTATACAAATAAAAACAAAATAATTTTCTGAACAAAAATGTAGAAACATCGGCACTTGAAATTTACCAACAATATATTTTGAAACACCGGTGCAAAAACTATAAAAAATTTATCAGAAACAAAACCATTAAAACTTAAAATTTTAGTTTATAAATTTAAATTGTAAAACCTTTTTTTATTAAGTATTAAAGCTTATTTTTAAACCAGATTTAAAGTATTTTTTAATAACCTATGACTTTCCCTATCAAACTCTCTAGTTTTAACTTCCTTATTTTGCTTATCGCTATAACTTGGTTTCCAATATTTGTAGAAATGTCGTACAAAAGCTCATAGATCATCCAGGTCATATTTTAAAAATTCGGAAATTTTTTTGGGTTAAATATCCGGAAAAAATCCGGAATATATATTTCCTTTATTTCTTCTAATTTTTCTTTTGGCTGAGTTATTTCCAATTTTTTTTCAGTTTTTTTTGTAATTTTTGTATGAGTGATGAATAACAAATATATTACAAAAATATATATTTAAACTTGTATATATGGATAGATAATCCCTGAACAGTTGTACAACAAATTAAATTTCGGCAACAATTGTAGTACAACAAAAACGCACAACTGTTGTACAGCATTTCTACTTGGAAATCAAACTTATGTTAGCTGTTTTACGTACGCCAATTTTATTCACACTTATCTTTATATCTATTCTACACATTCCAATTAGAATCCCTAACTACGCGCGCTTATTATAAGGGTAGTGGGAATAAAAGGAGGGGCGGGAATTTGAGTCCAGTATAATAAACGGGGGGCGGGGTCGGTCTTAATAAAATGCGGGGGAATGTTTTAATTTTTTAATGAACATGTATAAAACAATTTAATTCTGTTCAACTCTGTAGTAAGCGGTCAAATGCGTATTTTTTAACAGCTGTCTTATCATAATTTCAATTGGACTTAAACGCTCATATCAGTTTTATATAAGGTTTTATATAAGGTTTTACAATAAGTTTTATAATTTTTATACTAATCAATGCAATGTGGAGTTAATGTCTCTCTTATGGACTATCTCGGATTTTGCTGAAACTTTTTTGATTTTGTGCATATAAATAAGAAAAGCATGTTTTGAAAATTTAAGAATAATATTAATATCTAATACAATTCCTGAGAAAACACTATTTAAGTAACGGCCTATTTCGCATAAAATTAAGGTTTTTTTTATCATTCTTAACAGGTAATTACTTTTGAATAAATTGGTTTTATACTTCAGCTATTTTAAAATTTATTATTTAAGATTTATTATTTGAAGTTATGAATACTTTAAGAATAATAAAAAAAATAAAAAATCTGATATTTTAGCTTTTTCCATAATGGCGGGCTAAAATTGATATTTTGTTTTGTAATTTAAAATTTATCTGACTTTTAGAGACTATCTTTAGGGATTATAAATATTTACCCATTAATTTTTTATTTATTTATAAACACTCTTTGTTAATATAAGAAGTCTTAAGAAGTGTATAAGAAGTCTTAAAGAAAAAAAGGTGTTATCTTAAATAACAGATCCTTTGCATCAGGGATCAATTTAAAAAAATTATGATCTGGATCATTTTTATGACTTATAATATTTGAATGCAACAGTCAACTGAATTTTTTAAAAATGTTTTATACAAGCATCTCATGCATTGGTTGGAGGCAACTGCGATCTGGTTTCAGTTTTCCTTCTACTAATGTAATCAAAATCTATAATGTAATGAAAATTATGTTTTGTGAGAAGCTACATTTGCTAAGTTGATTTGTGAAATTTCAGCTGACAGCTGTAAGTTTTTCAAGATTATTATCATGCTCCTTTTTTATTATTATTATTACTTATTAATCTTTATCTAACCTTCTCTTTAAAACAAGCAATGCCATTTTTAATTCCAAAAGGTAAATTTCTATCATTTTCTGCAATAGGAATTTGATGCAAGGTGGGTTTCAAATCAACAGTACTGAATATTTTGAACAATTTTGTTTACAAGGTTATCAATTCTTGGTAATGGGTAAGCATCAAGTTGAGTGTATTTGTTCACTATTTAACTATATTGTCAAATCAAAATACAGTTTGACTGTCAAATCAAAATACAGACTGTATTTGACAAAAATCTACTACAAGTAGATCTAACTTTTATGATTAAGTTCTTTAAAATCACAAAAAATTTCAATTCCAAAACAAAAATATAAATTTTAATACGCCATTACGGAAAAAAATTATAATCCCAGACTAAATTTTTCTAGAAGTATTCATAGTATTTTCATGATTGCTCAGTATTTTTAATGCAGATATAGTGCAATTTGATGGTAATTTAGTTGAATAGCTTTTTATCATAAAATATTTATCAATTAAGAAAACCCCCTTCATGGGGTTTCCAGTAACACAAGATATGTTTAAAGCATATAAAAACCTTTTAAAACAAATTACAACATTTTTGACATATTTAATATGACTTGTATTTACTGGGTTGAACAAATTTTTATTTCTTTTTCTTCTGATAAATTTTTAGGTGTTTTAAACTATGCTTAGGAGCGTTTAGGGAAGAGCGCAGGGCTTTAATAATTATTATATTTAATACTATATATATATATATATATACATATATATATATATATATATATATATATATATATATATATATATATATATATATTTAATACTATATATATATATATTTAATACTATATATATATATATATATATATATATATATATATATATATATATATATATATATATATATATATATATATATATATATACACAAGTGATCAAAAATTTAGACTCAGAAAAAAAAAATTCTTAAGCTTAGCTCTTAAAATGCTAAAAAAAATTTATTAAGATGTTTAAATTTTTTTTTTTTTTAATTTAACTTAGTTTGTTTCCAGCATAATTACAAAAAACACACACCTTTTATTGTATATATTGGTCTTTTTTATTATTTTTTAATAATAGCGCTATTTAAAAACAAATAAAATGTGTCTCATAAATTCACTTTTTTCTATCTTTATTTCCATATAAATGCTCAACCTTTTTTTGGATCAAAATATATTTTCTAAAATTTTATGTTTAAATCCATTTAAAAATTAAATTATTTACTTACTTAGTGCATGCTAATCAAAATATACAATTTTTACTCATTATTTGCATTTAAAATATTTAGAAAATGGGTAAAACATCAGTCTCAAAAGAAATCAAAGAAAGAATTACCACCTTGCACATTGCTGGTAATTCTACAAGAAAAGTTTAGTTGATTCTCAAGAACATATCGCAGTCATGTGTCACTAAAACAATAGCTAAGTGGAAAAAAACAGGTAGCATATTAGATAAAATCAGATCCAGAAGACCCAGAAAAACAACTACCATTGATGATAATAGTATATACAGAATTGCCAGAAAAAATCCTAAGTATAGTGCCAAACAAATTGCTCAATAAAAATAAATCTAGCTCTTAAAAATGACATCTCAAGACAGACAGTAAATAGAAGATTAATTGATCATAAACTATGCTCATATACTGCTGCTAGAAAACCAAAAGTTAAAAGATCAGATCAACTCAAACGGCTACAATTTTGCAAGAAAATTCTTAAGATGAATGATAGTGATATAAAAAAAATTGTATTCAGCGACGAATGGAATTATACAGTCGTTAATCGAAAAAATAGAGTAACTGTTCGAAGACACCATAATGAGAAGTTTCATAATCGTTTTATTGTACCTCGTTTACAGGGCGGAGGAGCTTCAGTTGGGATCTGAGGTTGTATCACGTATGATGGACCCGGACTATGCTACTTGTACACTGGTAGAATGGAACAATACAGATACATCAAGACGCTTAAAAATCATTTGATTCTAACAAGAGACTTATTTTTTGGAGATGAGCCAGAATGGAAGTTTTAGCAAAATAAAATAAAAGTCACAACTTGTCACAAAGCAAAAACAGTAACAGCTTGGTTTAAAGAAAATAAAATCAATTTACTCCAGTGGCCAGCTAGATCGCCAGATTTAAATCCAATCAAAAATGTATGGTCTGTGCTTGATCGAAAACTGACCAAAGCTCCTGTAACTTCAGCTAAAGAACTCCGAAAAAGTTTA